AAGGAACGGGTGGAGGAGAAAGAAGGAATTCCCCCTGTGCAGCAAAGGTTTGGAATTGCTGTAATCTGAATAGAGTGGATGTTCTAGTGTTTTCTATCTCAGTCTTCTAATTTCTTACAGAAATTTTGTTTAGATGCTTCTGAGATCTTCTTGTTAATTTCATATATTACTTGCTTCCTAAGTTATTTTTGTTGTGAACTTGTCGTAATTTGAGTGATTCTATTTGTGATTTGAGTAGTTAAATACGTATCTGCTTAATCTAGTGTTCTTTCACGGATTTGGAGGATTTCTTCCTTTTCTATTAGGCTTTTAGTGATGCCATGGGTAATGAACCATTTCAGTTTAATTGTCTGAAAATGTCAACTCTAAATGTCATTGAGTCAAAACAAGCTCCGTCTTCCTAAGCACCTGTCACTGTGGGTATATTTTTTGAATTTGTAATGGACACTGACACTTAAATATTCTGAGAGCTTTCTATCGTTATTCCATTTTGTTAGAAAGTTGAAATCCTTACTTAAGGTACTTTTCTGTTGCAGGCTCATCTATGCTGGCAAGCAGCTTGGGGATGACAAAACTGCTAAAGACTACAACATTGAGGGTGGTTCTGTTCTTCATCTTGTTCTTGCTCTGAGAGGTGGAGGTTGTTAGGTCTTAGTTGGTTTTCTGCAAATTTACTTGTCCAACCTTTATACTTTGGGAATATGCTCTTGTAGAACTATGAGTTTGAGGTGCACTTGCAGCAAAAATGAAGAAATTTATTTTTGAGATGCTAAATAGTGGCTTTACATGGCATCTGGTAATTATATCTCTCGCTTTGTATGTTGGATGCTGTGCTATCTTTTCCTAAGGCATGATCAGTTTTTTTCTACTTCTGAGGTTATTCGTGTTTCGTGATGTTGGAGCTCAAATTTGGAAAGGGGTATACTTGTCTGAAACCGATTGAGAGTCTGCTTTTGTTCTGTCAGAACCTTGAAAGGCGAGGGAGAGAGAAGTTTTTTTTTTTCCCCCTCGTGTGTAATTGCATTTGTTGTGGAAAAGTAAGGCCTGGCTGTTTTGTGGTTCATTGGGAATGCTTGGGAATTGGTCACTCAATTGGTTGTCTATCCTATTAAAGCTTTTCCATACCATGATGGTGGTTGAGTATGGGGCTTTCTTGCATGAGATGGTCAGTGTTCACCAATTCAATTGGGTGACAGATCTAATTAGTCACATCGGGCTGAAGAAATTGTTGAGCTATGTTGGATTCCGGCCGTACCACTAGAGACTAATTGGGGCTTCAAAGTTCTGAACCAGTACTACTGATTGTCAAAATATCCGGCGTTTTGGTGGATTTGAATTTGTTTTTACATTATGGTGTCTGTGGGATAGAGCGGCATTCAGCAGTTCTTTGCACTTCCGGAAATGGGGTTGCAGGTCATTTCCCTTGTTGTCCGTCGCTATTAACCTTACCAACCTCCATCTTTTTTAGGTAAAACGTATCACACCTACCTGGCTTGGATTATCCCTTTGATGTATTTTTTTCCTCCGTCCAGGAAGAATTTGAAATCGAATGGGTACATGTTGCGTGTAAAAGTGAATTTCTAAAGCCTCGCTCAAAATGATACTGATGGATATGTTCCAAGTTCCGTTGGGCGTGTAAAGGGACATAATTTGAGTTCTAAGGGATATGTAACAATTGATACCTCTCTTTGTAGTTTGTACATCCCACAACAACAACGGTATGATACCCAAAAAGCACCGGCTCCATTCCTCCCATATGATATGACGCGTATTTATTTATTTTTACACTTTCTGATTCTAATTCTGAGTAGTAGTAGTATTAAAAAGTTCAGCCCATATAAATTTTCAAAGTATAACAAAGAAAGTGCAATGCAGCTATCAGGCTGCTGCCTTGTTTAATTAATTCCGGCAAACCTTCTGTATTTGGCTTGCGGGACCAATAACCGACGGTGGTTCCGTGTGGCTGTGTTGCTTCATGCATGTCCGGTAAGAACGACGCAAAGGCTGGCTCTAATCGGGTTGTGTTGCACATCCCTTTTTTTTTTTTTTTAAAAAAAAATAATAATAAATAAAAAAGACCAAAAGTAGTATAGAGGAGATGATGAGATATTCTTCACTTCACTGAGTAGATTAGCTGATGTGTTGGCTGTGAATAATTGCTTAGTACTGCTATAAGAAATTCCATATTCCTAAAAATTAAGGGGGTGCATAATTGCATTATTTCACATAAGACCGACGTCATGCATACTGCAACTCATCATCTTAATACACTTAGTAGTGGATGAATGAATCTTTCATCTTAGCCAGCTTTATACTACTAATTGTTTAGTTTTAGTCGTGAAAAGTCTTTGCATGGTTAGTGATATTCTACTTACCCAAAAGGAAAGATGTCAAAATTAGGTATCGAATGGTAAAAGCCTTCCAATGTTGGCTTCCTAACCGGATGACTTGTAACTAATTTAATCACCATATTTCATTTTTTTTTTTTTATGTTTCTCTGACTTTTGCATAAGTTAGACTTTTTCCAAATTCTGTTTTTGCAATTTTCTGCTGCTACTACTACTGCCTCTTTTTTTTAAACTCTAAATAAATACGGTCGGTCCAAAATGCACTAATTTGAGCCGGTGACCTAAATCCCCACTTCCGCGATTGCTGACCTAATCGCGACAACATCGCATGAATGAACTTCGTTCTACATTGGCATTCATCTGCTGAATTTTAAGAACATCAATTTTGTGGGCTAACATATTTCTCATGAACGAAATTTATTTCGAGTGGATTCTGCTATTTAGTTATTGCTTCTTCTTGCCAAATATTTGCTTCCACCAATATTACACATCTTTGGGTTGCTTTTCTTCGACGTGCTAACTGTAACCTTTTTTTAGGAGTCAAGACATTTGACGTGCCAAAGAAAGATCAAATTCACTGGATCCATATCTATTTGGAATTTTGTCTTGCGTGCTTAACACACACACACACACACACACACACAAGTGTTTTCAATCTCTACAAAACCCGAAAAGCTTTTGATTTTTCAAATCGGTAGGGATCTTTTGTGGAACAAATACCACCAATTTATCAAAAAAAGAACAAATCAGATGGATTCGAATATCTCAGAATTCTCTTTATTTGGTGATACAGAAATGCATCAAAAAAAATTTTAGCAGGTAGGATTAGGATTTAAGAAGCGAGGGGGGAAAATAAAAATTTGAATCCATGTCCGAAACCTTAACTTTAATCGCTAGATCAAGACCTCCTTGGCATCAAACTTCACGTCTAAATTTTCAGCCGATTATTTTGTCTAAGCTGCGAGTTTAATGTAGTTTGTCCTATGGCAATGATTTTTTCTCCACGAACTAAGAGCCCTCTTCTCTGGCTTCGATTCTGAAGTTTACGCCCCCTGTAACAATGCCTTTTAAAGCTGGTAATCTTCTTCTTTGCGCATAATATAATATCAATAAGGGTGAAATAAGCAGGGATCACTCAGAAATAAATACGAACTGGCTTTTTTGCCTACCTGATAACCTTTTCGGCCCGAGCTGGAATGGAAATCCACTAGCTAGTATCAAAGGCTGCAAGCGTCCTTTAGTCCCTACCAGCCTGCATAAATTTCCTAGGATGCATAACTTCCTTTTTAACTGCAATACACTGCACTTGTTTATTAGTGTACATGCATTCTTTCGTCAGGGAATATCAAAGTCTCTTCTACCAAATGTGGATGTGATGCTTGTGATCACACATAGTCAATATCTCTGAAGGATAGTTAATTAGTCATCATGTGTTGCCACGTAAACGGTAGTTGTTATGTTCAAGTGTTTTTGAAAGCATTACAATTCGTATATGCAAATGTAGGCCCCTTAAAAGGACTAATGTTGGTGGAAATGATCGTAAGTTGGAAGTGATGTGACTTCATCAGCTCCTGTACCAACTGCTTGGCTCCAGGAACCAGTATCAAGTAAATAGCATCTACAATCGCAATATGACGATTAATTAAGTTAATACCACCCACAGAATAAGAAAAATCCTATACTAAGCGACATATGATTGAAGGTATAAAAATAAACTAAAGGATGATCCACCTCTTTGATTTTAAGGATTTTCGCAGTCGCCTTTTGTAAATGAAGTCACAAAATAATCTAGAGATAGACGAAAAATTTACGGGTGCAATAGTTGTAAGACAATTTTTTTCCATCATCTTGCAACTCATACACACACATATAAAATATATAGGTGTATGAAAATTAATCTTGACTCGATTATATACAGGCTTGCAACATAATATTATGTACAAAACATATGAAAGAAATACCAACATGATTATTAAGTTAATACCAGCCAAAAAAAGGCTAAAGCTGAGGAAGAAGTATCAAGGGCAACAGCTAGCTGTAGTCGACCTTTTAGTCTAGCAACATAATTGTGGAGAAGATGACAATTATGGTTGGAATAGTATATAAGCTTGATTGTCCTACATTTTGAAGCTTTTATGGTAAAGTTTGATTATCTTTAAAAAAATAAAAATAAAAATCAGCAAGGCTTTCATGATTTATTATGGAAATGGAAGAATCGCAAGATATTAATTAGGATAAGAGAGGGAATGATTTATGACAAAATGATGATGTCATTAATAATAATAGTAATAGTAATAATAAAAATAAAACCAACGGCGCTCTGAGATGGGGTGACTAATTAAGGTGATTTAAATGTGGTTTAAAAGCCTTTTTGTCAAATTTGATGGATTGGTGGAAGTATATATTTATGATTAAAATTTAGTACCAAAATAAGACGCAAGGCAAAATCTTCAATGGGAGGAAGGCTTCAAAATTTTGCCATATGAAAATAGTAAAAAAAAAAGGGAAATTTTTTGAGTATCCAATAATTATGTCAAATAAATAATTTTGAGGGAACTTCCTTGTTTGGTCGGTCATGCCATATACTGGTTGGTAATTATTATTATTCTCTCTACCTATAAAGGGCGGGCACGAGAGAAGCAGCTAGGCGGCGATAAAAAGACAAAGCATGGGAAGACTGAGGAGGAGGATCCACGACAACTGAGGACGTTCCTCTCTCTATCTCTCTCTGTCTCAGCTAATTAATTAGCCAATCCACTGCCACTTTTGTTTTAGGAGTACTTACGTGCTGTTCTTTTCTTGCTGACTGCATCGAATCCAGCCGATTCCAGATGGGAAGGGGAAGGGCTCCTTGCTGTGATAAGAGCAAAGTCAAGAAGGGGCCTTGGAGTCCTGCCGAGGATTATAGGCTCATCTCTTTCATTCAGAAGCAAGGCCATGCTAACTGGCGTGCTCTTCCAAAACAAGCTGGTAATCAATCAGCCACCCCTTCCCCCCCCCCCCCCCCCCCCCCCTTTTTTTTGATTCATCCTTAATTTGTGTCTCTCATGATCTCATCAGCCAAAGTAATAAAAAAAAATTTTTTTTTTTTTTAATGAAAAAAAGTATGTATAACATCAACCAAATAGCCATGCATTCATTGATGCACAAGTACAAACTCTCTCTCTCTCTCTCTCTTTTCTTCGCATTTTTTTTGGATGATCATCTGTCGTTTGTGAGTTCTATTTTCATAATGGAACGGGCGACCCGAAAGAAGAAGATGAGGAAATTAATGGGGTTCGGGGAATTCAACCTTCGTCATTTGAAGTCCTCAATTAAGACCTGTATATCCACTTCGATTCGAGACCCATGATCCCCCTATCTGAATTGGGCTTATGCACTTCACTCGCTGTCTAGTAAAGGAGCTTAGGAGCGTAGTCGTCGGCCTTCCTACGCGCATGCGTCCGCCGGATTAATGTTGATGTTGTGCTGCAGATTGAATTCATGGGGTAGCTAAGTTATTGTTTCTCTTGCATTGCATTTCGGTCTGATTATTTCCAGCCATGCAAAATAAAATCTCCACAAAACCATTTTGGAATCGTATCGTCCCTTTAATCACCGCCATTGTCTTGTACATTTGCACAATGCTTAGTAGTAGTTGCAGAAATGGGTTATTCATGGAGTGTTATCGCTCGGGCACCCAAACAAAAACAACAACAACAAAAAAGGTAATGGCTTTGCTTTTACGGTGTAATATACATCTGTCTCTGGCCCAATTAGTTGTGGACTTTTCCTTCCAAACAAAACTAGAGAGTTTATGCCGACTCAAATTGCTAACTTTTCAATATGTTTTTTTTTTTTCACGTTATTCAGATGATTTGTGAGGTGCAACTAAGCTTTGGAAATGCATCACAAATCCGTAACCTACGCAGCTTGTTTTCTGTGTATAGTAGCTTCGTGTTTTTGTTGATGCCTCATTAATTAGTTAATAATAATAGACTTAACCTCTGCAAAAATTGGAGAATAAATTTTGCCTTCAATGGAACTGTTCAGCCAGCTCGTGAGATTGGTTTTTTTTTTTTTTTTTAACTGCCCCGTCCTCATCAGTTTACTACTGTTGGTCGATATGTAGTGGTAACTGGTGAGGGGTGAGTACTGCTATTATTATAGTATTAAGTTCGAGAATAATTTTTAGTCGTCCGTTTCAATCTTTCCTTTGTACAAAAAAGCTACTCCATATTATAATGCCTGCTCCTGAGGAGGCAGTCTATTCAAAGCTGAATAAGTCGTTGCCAAAGCAAAAAAAAAAATTCAAATTCTCCAGTTTTTACTTAATCATCTGAGGTCTACAGCTGACTTAATAATTCAGTCCTGTACCAAATCTCCATCTAATTAATATTAGGTAGGTGCACAAGGAAATGTATGTCAATCGGTGAAAATACCTCTTACGGTATTTGTTAACTAGGACCAGGAAGAGTGGTTGGGGGGTGGGGAGAAACAGAATCAGGAATCTACAAAAAGTCCATATTCATCACTGTTTTGTTTGTTATTGTGATGATGATGATGTTCACTTCTGTCATTACCAGTAACAGTAGTAATCTTCTCTTCTCATACTCTACTCTCCGCCACAGGGCTGTTGCGATGTGGAAAGAGCTGTCGATTGAGGTGGATTAATTACCTAAGACCTGACGTCAAGCGAGGCAACTTCACCCCTGAAGAAGAGCAAACCATCATTAACTTGCATAACGCTCTGGGAAACAAGTATGATACTAGTACCAGTTTTTGAGTTTCTTTTTGCTGACTTTTGACAAATTTTTACATCATCTCTATATGCTATATGCTGTATGATCCTCTTTTTTTTTTAATTTTATATTTGACAAACTCATTCCCTGTGGCAGGTGGTCTAAAATTGCATCTCATTTACCAGGAAGAACTGACAATGAGATCAAGAATGTTTGGAATACGCATTTGAAGAAAAGACTGGTTATTGGAAATGATGATGCTAACTGTCATCAAAAAATTGAAACTAGCAACTCATTCACAAGTTATTCTGCTTCGCCTTCTCCTTCCTCCAGTTCCTGCATCTCTTACGGGGAGCTGAATACGGAAAAAGGACCTGGGGGCGATCAGGAGGGCCTACACTCCAAAGTTGATGAGCAGCAGGAACCGTGCATTTCGCCAACTCATCCAAATGCACCTAATCTGGAAAACTTCGGCCAACCTGCTGAAGAAACCTGCTCGCTCGACAGCTGCATTAATTCAAAGGCTTCTCCTGAGGTTCGAAAGACCACGACCGAGGAACCTAAAGAAATGGCTCAAGATGGGAATACCATGGAGATCCCACTGGAGCCGGATGCTGATTTTTGGAACTTTTTGGACGGTTTAGATCCTATGGATAAGCCCACTGAATGTCAACCACAGCAGGAACATGGGGTCTCCCAGAGCTCGAACTTTGGAGAAAACCATCAGGAAGATGTTCATGAATACAAGAGGTGGTTGAGATACTTGGAAAATGAACTTGGACTCGTTGGAGGGAATGATGGGGAATGTCCACAAAAGGGTGCAGGCGCAGAACAGCAGCAGCAGCAATTAGTCACAGATACTTCAGACGATGAGATGATGTCTAGGCCAGAATTTGATCCAGCTGCTATGGCTTACTTTTCAATGTGGCCTTCTTCGCCTCAAAACTTTGGTATCTGAAGTCAAACTTGGAACTTGTGATTCGTGGAGATCACCGAACTTGGCATTGACAAACTTTGTTATCTAGCTAGTGAATTAGTAATAACTAGGAATCCTTTCACATGAAACAGAGGTATACATACAAAAGTACAAACACAGGGCATTCTCATGTATGATCTGGTATCTGTCATTCTCCAGAGATTGTACCTTAGACTAAGACTAACGAAGAGATACCACAGTAATGCAGTATCCATTGACATTATGTGTTGAGTCTGAAACTAGCTAGTAGTAGTGGGTTGGTGATATTCCTCACTAACCAGCACTGAGCAGTAACCGTAGGCATGTGGAGAATTTATAGTCTATATAATACAGCTTCCCCAGTCCCCACATTTTAGAAAATGATAGTACCAAGAAACTGTAGGTTAGGGCAAGTCTTGAAGTTGACGGATGCAGTAATATCTTTAGTTTTCATGAAAAAACATCTACGTGTAGAAACCATACCCTATGAGGATGGGCAATGAAAATGGAAAAAACGTTGTGGACAAAGACGAAGTGAATATGGCTGCTAAAGTCTTAGATGTTGGTGTTGATATCTTGAGGAAAAATTAGTGGCCGGGGGGGTCAGATTTTGCTGCTCTACAGTTTGAAAATGCTCTGAAAGCATGCATCATCCAATTCTTCTTGTTGCTGACAAATATCTTTTTTTTTTTTTACCCCTTCAACTCGAATCAGAAGAAGTCAGTCAGGGAACAAGAGCACGCCTTTCCATTTCTCTGTTTTCGCGGAGCTGCAAAATCATAGGAGCTACAGTGTTACTAGTAATTGTTTCTGGACCGCTACTTACTCTTTGATGATCCCTAAAATGTTATGACCGGTAGCTGTGGACCATAGCTACAACACAGGAGCAGTTCTTTTTAACTCGAAAGAACCACAGAATTATTAGTAGCATGCTTAGTTTCCCAGTTAAAGAAGAAAAAAAGACTAATCAAGAAAATCCAATGATGAAATGGTGGCCAATAGTTTACTGTCATATTTCCACTTTTATTCTACACGTGGAGTAACATGATGGCGTATTTGGTAAGAAGCAAAAACAAGATATGAGGGTTTTTGAGCCCAAAAAAGAAAAAAGAAAAAGAAGTGAGGCGTTTTTTTTTTTGGGTTTTCGGGACGCTTCGTTTCTTTTTTCATCATTCATGGCCCGCAATGCAATCATTTCGTCTTTTGGATTTTTACTCGCGGCCCACCAGTAATTTGGGATGTGAGGCCCAGAAAAACTGTATCGCAGTCATCCCACCATCCAAGAACAATCGGCCCATGAAAACTCAAACTACCTGATTGCCACCAGAGTCTTGTCAGGTTCACCGTCATAGGTATCGTATGGTTAATAAATAATACTTAATCGGAAGAGAAGAGAGTGGTACTAATTTGGAATTTGGAAGCTGCTGCTGGGATTCCACGACGAAGAGAAGAGCAGTTTGAGGAGGGTCCTCAGATTATCAAACTGGTGGTACCACTAGTAGTGAATTTGGCAAATGGGAAAGATTGAAGAAGAGGAAGAAGACAGCAATTTCAATGGCGGGTTGGGCGGCAACGGACAAGATTTTTCAGGAAGCACTCCCACCATATTTCCAGAACTCAAGTATTATTGCTTACAGTTGCTTGAACTCCTCCACAACCCTCACAAGCAGAGGAAGAACAATTCTTCTTCTTCCTCGCCTCCTTGTCAACTCCTCCAGCTTCTTCGTTGCTCCCCTGCATCTTCTCTCCAGCCTTTCTTCGAGTACTCTTTTCTTTTTCCTCTCTCTCTCTGCCCCTTCCACCTTCCATTGCTGTTTGTTTGCGATTACTCAAATTTAATGCAGGAAAAATTTATCACTCTCTGGGCATCAGTTGATTATGACTTTGCGGGATGTAATTCCATAAACAATAGTAGTTTAGTCTCAGAATTTTGTTTTTTCTTTTAAGAAAAAAAAAACACTTTAAAGTTTAAACGGAAAAACACCTTTCTAGGCTAAGATGCTGTGAAATAAAAAAGAAATCTTTAATGTAATTACTACGGGCTAGGCTGCATTTTAATGTCAATATTTTTATCTTTTTTTTTTCAAAACTACATTAACAATGTAGTACGAAAACCGAAATCAATACGACTACAATCCTTTTTAAGGTTTTTGTTTGCTTTGGCATGCTGACTTATGACCCATCTTTCTTGTTTGCAGCTACATATTGTTTCCTTTGCTGCTTCTGTTGGATGCAGCAGTGGGTTGTCGAGCTTTGCCTAAAGGTGATGATCCTGATGGAAGTTCATTCATGTCTGGTGCCCCCAAAGCTCCCCCCCAAGTCAGTGATCATGTAGCTGAAGCTGTGCTTGATTGTCTGGAGGAACTTCTCACTAAATGTGCTTTGGGATCTGTGGATCAGGTGACTTGTTATGCCATTTAAGCAAAACCGAAGCTTTACACTTAGCTGTTCATCATCTCTCTATATTTGTTTCGTGTGTCTTTCAAAACTGTAAACCCTAATCTGCGGATTGCTCAGGGCTTGATGATGATGGCTAGTTTGTCTGCTTTGACGGGATAGAATTAGGATGCTTCTGAATTACACATATCTCTGAATGAGTTATTAACAATTGACTTTATGATTCCCTTCAGCTTATTTTTCCCATTTCCTAGCTCCTTGAATATGACATAATCTGATGGAGTGGTAGCATTTCAGAAGCAGCCTCATTTATGTGCTCTGTTTTGTTCCTTGTACTTTTTTTTTTGGTCAGGCTTCTTCTTCTTTAAAGCATGAAGCTAACAACTGGTTGTGTTCCAAAGAGAATGATTCTCCTCTCACTCAATATTGTACTACCCTTTTCTGTGATGGGATTTGTAGTGCCCCATTTGAGCCTGTCCAAAGGACTGTACAATATTTACCTCACGTACTCATTAGATGCTAAAGATCCCGTCTAAGATTACTCTGGCTTACTACGGGGTAGTATTATTGCAAATGCAGCAGTGCAGTCTGTATGTGAGTGTGCATTCTTCAATTTATTGGTGCTTCTTTTCTGTTCAAGAATTTTTCATGTTCCTTCAAATTTTGAGACATTTCTCTTCAATAATTTACTTTTAAGTCATTGTATTTAAAACATTATTTCCCTCATCTGGATTTCTACACTTACTTTTTCAGATGGTTGTCTTGCTGAAGAAACTGACTAGTGGTGCATTACTTTCTCCATCAGAAGCACCGGAAGAATTCCGTGTTGGCATAATAAAATGTTTCAGAGCCTTGCTACTTTGTCTGGATCCTTGTATTGATGAGTTGTGCCAATGTAAACAAGTTGTTGGTTTGCCTGTACAACTAGTTAGAAAGGATTCTGTCTCAAAACCTGCTTCAGAGGCAGAGCAATGTTTGCTTGCATTTCTCCAATCTGAGTCTGCTTCAGCTGCTGTTGGACATTGGCTATCACTTCTTCTTAAGGTTATTATCTATTTTGCACCTTATTTTAACTAGTTTTACTATATATGCATGTAAGTATCTTTTAAATCATTTTGTTGTTGGGAATCAAGGCTGCTGATGTGGAGGCAGCACGAGGGCATCGAGGCAGCGCAACACTTCGCGTGGAAGCTTTCAAAACACTTCGTGTGCTTATTGCTAAGGTCTTTTGTTGTACTTTTTGGCATTTGCATGGTTTCTGTTGCATTTGTTATTAGCTGTCTTTAGTGGAAGGCTTCAGTAATGTTCCTGAAAATTTTACTGGTTAACTGAACAGAGCTACTCAATGGGTTTATTTTTCAAATGTAGCTTGAGATTAGATTAGCTGGAGATCGTATGATCATGAGGTATATACATCAAAATTCAGGAGATCTTCTAGGAAATTGGTTATTCGGTTTACATGATTTGAGAGCTGAGATTCTGTAAAGGCATCCATCCAGTGATATTGGCTCATTTAACAACCTTGTATTGATCAATCTTATGTGGTCTCTTGCAGGTTGGTAATGCAGATGCATTGGCTTTCTTTTTACCAGGTGTCATTAGTCAAATTGGCAAAGTTCTGCATATGTCCAAAACAATGGTTAGTGGGGCTGCAGGAAATACTGAAGCTTTAGACCAAGCAATCCGGAGTTTGGCAGAATTTCTTTCAATTGTTCTGAAGGATGATCAAAATCTTCCTAGTCTTAGTCAATTTCCGGATGATAGTATTGTCCATCACATATGCAAGGAGAAGCCCCTTGTTTCCTTTCTGGATGAACTTCGTCACCTGGCTTCAAAGACTCAAGATCAGGGTGAAGTTGTGGTTCACAATGTGAGTGAAGCTGTTCAAAAGAGTACATCAATGCCTGACATCAGAAAGAGTGTGAGTGTGAATCCTGAAGGAACGAGAGGGGCTTTTCGTGTTGAACGTTCAAAGGATTGGATCATCAATGCTTCAGCTCACATAAATAAAATCTTGTCTAAAACTTTTCCCCATGTAGGTTTGGATATATATATATATATAATCTACATATATTTTATCTTTTAGGTCACGATTTGGTGCAATTTTTTCCCCTCACATTGTATAACTAAGTTGTTCCATATTCTTCAGCTTTCTTGTCATCCATCGAAGAAGGTGAGACTGGGAATTTTAGCAGCCATGCAGACACTTTTATTAAGTTGCAGTTACACATTAAGAGGAAGCAGATTGTTGCTTTTGGTGAGTTGGAAGCAAATTAAGCTTAGTCGGTATGGCTCTTATGTGAGTTTTGTTATATATTACTAGTGGGCATTAGGCTTTGACTGACACTTCACTATTAATAATGCAGGAATGCATTTGTGTTCTTGTTTGTGACGACTCTGAGGAAGTATCCTCTGCCGCACAGGTGTTCTTTGGATATTTGTTTTCATCAAATAGGGAACATCTGGAACATGATTTTGATGCCATCTTTAGCAGGTTCATTGTACTTCTGAGGAACAAATTATTCTGAAATCGCATCCTTGTTTTCGGAAATATGATATGCTACTTGGTTTGAAATCTATTCAGGCTCATTGACAAGATTCCACATGCAGTGTTGGGAAACAATGAGTCAATGGCTCTATCACATGCCCGGAAGTTACTTGTAGTGATATATTTCTCAGGTCCACGATTTGTGGCCATCCACCTACTTCAGTCTTCTGTACGTGGGATCCAGTTTTCTTTTCTCATTTTACACTTCTTGAGGGCCTTTCTATCAGATAAGGGTTAGAGAAACTAGTTTTTCAAATAAAATTTTTAAAAAGTACTCTAAAAGGTACTCTAAAAAGTAGTCTAATTTTTTTTAATGTTTAAAAATATCCCAAAATATATTTTAAAAACTCTACTACTGTTAAATATTCCAAAATATTTTCTAAAAATATCCCAAAATATACTCTAAAAACTCTGCTACAGTAAAATTTTTGAAAAA